AAAGAGTGGGAGAACGTCAAGCCTAGAAAAATAGAGATGCTTGCAAAGGGCAGAAAAAGTGGATTCCAAGTGGATTCCATTTGGTAGACACATAATGACAGGTGTTAAACAAAACTGGGGAAAGGAAAGCAGGAGAGGCAAAGAGACAGGCACAGAAACATGGGAAGACAGACAGAGGACCAAAGAGACAGGCAGAGAGATACCTGCTGTAATAACAGTGTTGACATTCAAATAGGAGGCTCTGACAATGGGAGCTGGCTGAGGCAGCACCTAGTATGCAAATAAAAAAAGAACGAATCAGGAAATATCAGCTAGCATCAGGACTTTTCAGAGCACACACTGAAAACCACTTGACCCTTGGCATCCCACGAGTGAGTGAGTGTGTGTGTGTGTAAGCCAGCACTTTTGATATTAAATCCTTTGATTTCCCATGCAAATCTATTCATTCCATACCAAGACTATAAATATGTTGAGTTACATGAGGTTTATAAATAGAACTATAGTGGGATTGTCTATTTATACTGAATGTTGAAACAGCTGTACAAATGTACTGAAGTTACACATCCCCTCCAGAGACGTTTAAGGCATATAGACATACTTTTATATGGATAATATGTAGTCTAACAGAGCTTTTCCACAAATAAGTTCAATGAACCATAAAAAAGGTATTTGTCCTTCCAAAATTTTCAAATATATACAAATGAGTCTACTCATCAAACACTGCCCGGCACTGCTGCTTCCCTGAGGTACACCAGTGACATCACTGTGTATCAGAATACAACAGCAGGAGGGAACACAGGAGAGGTTCAACCACATCTACCTGATCCTCATTCAGACCCTGGCTCTGATGAGGAGTCTGTTGTTCACCAACAATCAGCGTTGGCAGGCAGATATCTCAGAATGATAAGTGTGGTTAACATCTTGTATATCACTGACTTCTAACTGACAGGGTGGCTTTATACAGGTAGCACTGCTACATGTTTTTTTGTCTTCACACTGTTATTAGACCAAATATGTAAATGTATTCACAGCCTGACTTAGAGTTTGATAGGATGCCACTGTCTCCTTTTCTCAGTAGATCCAAGTGTAATCTAGTTACAAAGAACCAGGAGATTGGATTATTAGCAAGAGGCTAACTGTTAGCACTCAGGGAGCCAAACATAATACTGCAACAACTCATTTAAACTACCAGTAAATAGTAAATAAATCAAACAAACATCCACACCCTTCAGGAGAGAAACATGGACAAAAGCCTGTGACAAACTACACCAGGTACTATACTGTAGTGGAGGGCAGGTATTTATGGGGTGTAAAAAGAAAAAGAAAAGTTTTGTGTTGATTTATTTATTTTGCCATTCAATGCAGTTAAGCATACTGGGTTTATTCAGTGACTGTCATTCCAATTCCAGTCACTTCTACTCCTGCATTCTTGCCTTCATCATATCTTGAATAGCTACTGTAGGTTAAACATATAAGCTAAATATATTAAAAAACGGAAAGGGTCATTAGTTAGCAAATTAATTCTTGACTCTCTCTTTTATGCACCCCACATGGCCTCAAAGGCCCGATCAATCAAAATCAGATTCAGCTGACATCACCATTGCACAAATTTGATTTCCTTTTAAGTGCTCATCAGTCTTTTGCATCAGTGTAAACCCGTGGTGACTG